CTTAGCAGGCACGGGGTTGGCCAGGCCAGTGTCTGGGCCTGAGAGGTGTATCTGTAGAGACCGGCCCAGGTCCCTGTGGCCGCCCGCCCGCTCCTCTGATTTCACCAGCGCGGGGGCTCTGTCGCTGTGGCTTCACAACTCCAGCGTCACCCGCCGTTCCTCACCGGCACCAGTCCCCTCGCCATCGGCCCCAGGACCACCGTTTCAAGCAAATCTGCTTAACGTTGGGGCCACAACTTCATAGCAAAACAAGGGGGGGGGGGTCGGTTGGGGCTTACATCTCGAACAGGGGAACTTGAAGGATGAACGCGTTTCTTCCCTTCGTGAGAATCTAGGTTCCAGTGGTGACCGTGGGTTAATTCTAAGAACGAACGAAGAGTGAGCCAGGTGTCGGTCTGGGCTGAGTGGAGGTTTATGGGAGGGTATCTGAGGGTGTCGGCAGCTTCCCCGAGGCACCCCCACCCTTCTCTTTTTAAAAATATATTTGTATTGATGTCAGAGAGGAAGGGAGAGGGAGAGAGAGAGAAACATCCATGATGAGAGAGAATCATGGATCGGCTGCCTCCTGCACGCCCCCCACTGGTGCCAAGCCTGCAACCCGGGCCTGTGCCCCGACCGGGAATCGAACCGTGATCTCCTGGTTCCTGGGTCGATGCTCCACCCCTGAGCCACGCTGGCCCGGCACTATGGACATTTCGGACCAGATCATCCCTTGCCGTCGGGGGCTGTGCTGTGCCTTGCAGGGTGTTTAGCGGCCTCCCTGGCCTCTACCTCCAGACACCAGGGACACCCCCTCTCGCCACCCAGTCATGACAATCAGAAACATCTCCAGAAACTGGCATGTGTCCCCGGGGGTGGGGGAGGGGCCTGCCCATGGCTGAGGATGAGTCCTTCAGAGCAAACACCATCACGGATTCCTTTCACCCTGGAGCCAGAAAGAGCTGGGTGCTAATCTTGGTTCTGGCGCTCCCTGGCTGTGTGGCCTCGGGCCAGTCGCTTTACCTCTCTGTGCCTCTCTGCAAAGGGGAAATAGTAATAATCCCAGTGGCCAGGGCACGGTCCTTCGTGTAACGAGGACTCAAAGAAACCCTCAAAGGAGAAGGGCAGCTCTTGGAAGACATAGAGTGTCTGTCCCGGTGAATGAGGGAACAACGGGAAAAATGAATTCCTGTCTTTCCCCCCGACGTTGCATAGCAATGACCAGAGCGGCAGCGTGGTGATCTTTGGGGGCATCGACTCTTCCTACTACACCGGGACCCTGAACTGGGTGCCTCTCTCCTCCGAGACATACTGGCAGATCACCGTGGACAGGTGAGCGCACCATGGCCCGGCCACCTCCCGGCAGGGGCCCCAGGGCCCATTGCTCTATAGACTCACCGCCGCTAAGCTTCCCAGAATGCCACTGGAAGGGCCAGCACAGGGAGGCGTCCCCCAGGAGGGGGAAAGGGAAGGTGGCCGAGCCAGAGAGACCCCGAGAAAGGCACCTCCCTGCAGGAGGGGAGCTGCCCGAGACCCCCAACCCCTGCCAGGATGGGACAGCCCCTCGCCTCCTGGTCACAGGGGCAGGACAATCTACCAGCACCCGGGAGCCTGGGGGGCCTGGTGGTGCACACCCCCCAGCGTTTAGGGGCCTGGGAGCCGGCACACGCCTCCCGTTCTGGGAAGATATCCTCTAGCCTCGCGACAGGGCACATGATGGAGGAGTTTCAGGCCACTCCGCCCACCTTGTCCTTCAGGGCCTGCCCCGGCCCCAGGCAGCCTCACTCCCCAGCTGTCCTTGCCCCGCTGGCCTGCTGGGGTGACCAGTCACCCAGGTTTGCCCAGGCCTGAGCGGGTACCCGGGATGCGAGAACTTTCAGTGCTTGAACCAGGACAGTCCTGGGAAATAAACCGGGGTGCGCCGGCCGCCACCTCCGTCCGTCCCTCCCACGCCCGCCCGCTCCTCTGGTCTCCCCCCCTCCCCG